CGCTCATTCTAGGCCACCGTGTGTGACGCTGTGTTTCGTTGTGAAAGCGAAACTACTTTGTTTGGCCTTCCAAAAATGGACACGACTAGAAATCAGTGGTTAAGTTGTATTTACAACACTGTTCCAGAACACTTCAACCCAAATATTCAGATGTGTGCAGCACATTTTATGGAGGACTGTTTCCTGATCCTGGGAGAGTAGACTACAATGCCGGCTGTTCTGACTCAAAGACTGTAAGTACGTTTTTTATATTTAAAGAGTTTTTATATTTTATATATTTAAAGCGAGTTTTTTGGGCAGTGTAGAGTAGGGCTTGTTGTTTGTCATTTCTCCGATCACAAATGCAGAAAGAAAATGAAAAAAGACAGTATAAGTCATTATAATCCATAATTATGTCCCCACTGGATGCAACGAATGCTTCGTTTATAATGGGTTTTCATGTTTTTGAATCATCGCTCCAGCCTGACAGGGCATCATCACAGTATGGTGAGGGGCGTAACATTTCCGTCTCACGCTTGACGTATTCGGCCAATCACAACGCACTGGATAGCTGGCCAATCACAGCACACCTCGCTTTTTTAGAACGATGAGCTTTGTAAAAATCGACGCGTTTCAGAAAGGCGGGGCATAGAGGAGAAACAATAATGTACAGTATGTGGAAAATAATGTGTTTTTTGAACCTTAAACCGCATAAACATTTCATTACACCAAATAATGTTCTTTTTAGCAGCATCATATGACCCCTTTAATGAAGTATAAGAAATTCATATAACTGCAATAAGTGTACCTAGGAAACTAAGATAATTAACTAGGAAATAAAGATTCATCAAAGCAAACTTTGAATGACTCGACAAAGCCATGTTCGAAAGTTTAAAGAAGTTGAAAAATCTTTTCCAATGTACCTTCATAGTGGACATGGTCAATTCAATTCAACTTATAAATTGAAAGGGAGCTGAATTTGCAAATCTAAATGTCTGCCCAACAGTGCTATGCGTGTGTGTACTGGTATTCCCTGCATTATGATGACCAAATGTCCCCACAAGTATAGTAATACCAGTAAATTTTACCCTTGTGGGGATTTTTTTTTTGGTCCCCATGATGAAACAAGTTTATAAACCATACAGAATGAAGATTTTTGAAAATGTAAAAATACAGAAAATTTTATGTGAGGGGTAGGTTTAGGTGTAGGGTTAGGGTAAGGGGATAGAAAATACAGTTTGGTCTGTATACCATTACGCCTATGAAATGTCCCCATAATGATAGGAATATCAGTGTTTGTGTGTGTATGAGATATAAATACAAATGAAAAAGTAATTTATAAATAAAATAATGTAATTAACAAAATAAGTAAATGCATCCACAAATACTTGAGTGAATTTACTCTTGTAGTGAATACATGTTTGCTCTCCCAGCAGCACAGATGTCCACACAGTAGCATCTTTGCTAAAGCTATACCTCAGGGAGCTGCCTGAACCTTTGGTGCCATTTTCCCGCTATGAAGAGTTTCTTGTATGTGGCAAAAGAATCTCCTCAGACAGAGAAAAGGTATAGTTAACCATGTTAACCATCACTTACTTCAAAGAAGAGCACATGATGTTATCTGACAAAATTAAATGGAATTTGTTAATATTATTACATTCTGGTCATTTAGGAACCAACAATCATTTGTTTTATAATCTCATTCTGTACTTCAGGGTTTGCAAGACTTGAGGAGTCTCCTTTATGAGCTACCTGTAGCAAACTTCAACCTCCTGAAATACATCTGCCAGTAAGACTGAAGTCATTTTTTTATTCAAAGATTTAGGGGTTAGGTTTTCTATATCTAGACATTGGCATTTGGAGCTTTAACCTAATGTGCAATGATGTGTCTAGTCTTAAATGTTTAACATGGCTCGCATCAGATAACACGGCTATGACACATCTGGGTTCCAGATTCTTAAATGATGTGCAGTCATACTCCAATGTCAACAAGATGAGTATCCAGAACTTGGCAACTGTTTTTGGGCCAAATATCCTAAGGCCTAAAGCTGAGGACCCAGAAAGTATCATTGGAGGTGAGAAATATTTAGGTCTCCATAAATAGGGTTTGTGGCGAATCCAGGTAAAGGCCTGGCTTCAACTGAGGTTTAGATAGCTCTAAAGTTTAGTGTATGTACTCATGTTTTGAAGTCATATGAAACTGTTTGCCTTAAATCTGTGGGACATGCACTTACTCATTCCTCTCTCCTTTACTAGGGGCAGCAGATGTGCAACATCTAATGTCTGAACTGATCCGTGAGCACAGCTTGCTCTTCTCCCGAGAGAACTGCAACCCTCCTGAAACATCTTTACAAGCTGCCCTCCCCATACAAAGACACAGTCACCTTGTGGAATGGGTGCACGAACCACCTGCCCACCTGAGGGAACCTCTGTTGAGCAAAGATCACATGGTCCTTCCGGATCAGACTGTAGCCTGTCCACATAAACACTCTCTACCGTTAAACACAAAGAGGAGAGAGTCTTTTCAAAGCCCTTGTGACAAAAACATTACCCATTCATCAGAGACAGAGCAACAATTTCAAGAGAACTCTTCACCAACCAGCTCTGCTCTGATTTATGACAACTACAGTCAGAACAGCCCAGCACAAGAATCTCTCCATACAAGACATGTACCTACACCCTCCACCCCACTACCTGCCTGCACTTCTTTGAGCAAAGAACTGGAAGCTGGAGTTCAAATATGTATGCAGTCAAGGAGCTGGCCTGACATGGAAGAACCCAGCTGGGGACCAGAAAAAGCACTAGGGGAAAGTGGAGGCAGCAGTGAAGCCCAGGATAGTACCTTATCTGTCTATGACAACATAGTTACTAAGGAGCAAGGGGAGCAATATATAGAAGACAGGGAGGCCAAAGGTACTGCCAGTGTGGCTGAGAGCAGCAGCTCTTGGTCCTCCTGTGAGATCGTGCCTTTGGATGGGGGCAGTGGGAGCGGTGGAGCTGCAAGCCCTTGCAATGTCTCCTCAGAACAATTCTCCTCATTCAGAATGGACTCTAGAGAGGAAGAGCTTCGTCCTAACTCCCCTGCCTCATCCTCTGCTCCTACAGATGCGCCTTTAAGCACCGGCAGCAGCGAAGTCTTTTTACCAAATGCTCCCCAAGAGCCCCTGGTCTTTCCAGCTTCCCATGCAATGCAGTGCCTTGTTGCAGGGCTTCGTCAACAGATGACCAGGCAAAAGGCAGAATACGATGCAAAAATCAACAGGTAAGATCACTTCATCAGTAGTCTTGGTACCTGACAACAGGAATTGCAAAAACAAAATAGACTGCAGAGATAGGCAATATTGTTCCTAGAGTGCCTCTATCCTGCAGAGTTTAGTTCCCATTTGCCTTTAGCCTTAGTGATTCTGAAGACCTCGATTAGCTTATGTGTTTGGTTAGGGTTGGAGCTAAACTCTGCAAGACAGTGGCACTCCAGGACCGACGTTGCCTATCCCTGGACTAATGGCTTGTAAAAATCAAGAACAGTGATGGTAAAACAGTTAAACAGATTGAAAAACAGGTTCAGCCTTTACACTAAATTTGGTAAGTGGGCAAACAAGAGAAATTAGATAAATGTGACTTCAAAAATTACAGGCAGGTGTGTTGGAGCAGTATTGGATCTGAATGGGGTAGGACGGTAGCACTCCAGTAGCAGGATTGGCTACCCCTGCATTAACGTGGTCTTTCCCAACCCTGTTCATGAAGGAACACCAACAGTACACATTCTGTAACCTTACTTTTCAGGTCTGAGTCTCTAACAAGCCGAGTTGAATCGGGCATGTTTGATTAGGAAGAGTTTGAAAATTTACAATGTTGGTGTAATGTTCAGGGTTGAGAAACACTGGATTAATAAATAAGTGTACCTGAACACAGTATGGTTACTCCATTCTCTGTCTGCAGGCTGGAGCAGAGGAACAAGGTACTTCAGGGGGAAGTTGCAGGGCTGTGCTCAACTCTGGAGCAGCAGCGGCGCTGGGTCAGTGTGGCTGAGATCAAGATGAGAAATGTAGAGCGAGCCCGTGCAGACGCCGATAGACGGAACACCACTCTGCAACAGGAAATGGAGCAGTTCTTCGAAACATTTGGCGAGCTTAACACAGAGGCCCGGAAAACCAGTCGCATTGTTCAGAGTTTTTGAAACATTCATGTGCTGTGCTACAAGACCAACCTTAGTAGCATATTAAGGTTTCATTGTTTTAAAGCAGTGATTTTCAACTCTGGTCATGGAGTTACCCCCAGTAGCATACATTTTTGATGTCTTTCTTATATGATACCTCCATTCCAAGTCTGGGTGTTTCTACCAACAAACGGAGTTGAATTCGGAAGACATAAAACATGTTCAGTGTTACAAGTACTCCAAGTCCAGGGTTGGGAAACAGCTATATTAAAGTAATAACTGCTAAAAAAAAACAGGAGTCTTTTTCAGGGCTGTAGAAATGAGGATGCATTCCTGAGGGAAACCATTTCCCCACTTTCAAGTACAGTTCTGTTGCCTGAACGACTGTGCAGACCAGCATGTTTAAAATAATACTAAAGGCAATTTTTTGCCATTTAAGTGATCAAAAACAATGGAATGACCCAAAGTAGGATAAAATTTCATGTCTAGTAAGCATGGATGCCATATTTGAGAAAAGAGATTCTAATGAAAACTAGACCCTAGGGATGCTCTTAATATAAATGAGCTCGGACTTAAAAAGTTTCTACCCTGACTGAGGGTCACTGTACATTTTATTTAATTGGGACCCGTGTAGATAACACAAGACAGTCATACCTTGAACACAAACTGTTCATACACTGAATGCATTTGTACCATATGAAATAAAACATAAAACAAACAGTACTTTGGGCTTTTTATTTGGCCAGTTGCAACATCTTTATTTTTTTTCTTTTCACAGAGAAAATAAATCTCACTCTGTTATTGTAGACAGAGGATCATTTAAGGTTTTGCATTCGTTTCAGATAGGTTTGTGATTTGGGTAACTCCCATCATAGCCCACTGACAGGGCACCCATATGTAGCACAACAATACAAAACACACGATAGCTAAACAGACATTACTAGCACAGAGCAGTTAGATATCTATTCCTTTAACATGATTTGATTGATGACCATGAGAACGGTTTTCTTAAGGCCAACTCACAGTGCACTGACAGACATGACAACCAGACACATTCATCTGGTTTTGTCAGATCAGTGTGTTACCCCTGTTGGTGTCTGTTGGCATTGGTCAGTGCTTGATTTCACCAACTGAACATATTAAAGCTGCGTTTGTCGGAGGGTGGAATGGCTGAGAAGTGACATACTGTAATCGGTTGGCTGTCAGCATCTGTTAGTGCAGTGTGAATTGGCCTTTATGAAGATAGTCTGAGAAGTAAATGAATATCCTAAAAGTGAATAATTCTTCAAGTCATTACTGATTCCACCTCAGATTGTCAGTGACAAAAACACACTGTTGTTCACAAACACACACCCTCTCCCCCAAGGGAAACAGACACCTAAAAGAAGAGAAAGTAAGCCCTTGTGTGAGCCAGCTTTGTTCGTTGTCTTGAAGGTCTCAGTGCCACAGAGGTCCATCACGAGTGTTCATAACAGGAATCAACGAGTCCACAACAGCGAAACTAATATGCACGAGGCTCCGAAATTAGAATGGAACACAATGCACTATTGCGTTGTTGTAATACATTATCACTCTGCTAACAGTAATGTGAAGCACCAAAAGAAATCTCACAAGCTCAAGGAGACCAGGAAATGTGATGTTTGAGAAAACAGACAAAGTGGCATGGGTAGCAAACATCCCAGCATGCTAAAAAAAGAACTTGATTGTAGGTATCATCAATCATTTTGTGATCTCCAGGCCAAGCTGTAGAGACACTGATAGTGAGAAGCTTAAGGCATGGAAAATTATGGTGATGCTAAGTTCATCCTCCAGTCCTGTCCATCAGTGAAGGATCTACCTACCGATATTCCCATTTCAGTCAGTCAGAAGAGCTTGGAGGCACACAAACTCAACAATACACTCATATTATCCTCCAGAGGCTCTCCAATCATGTACAACCAGAAGACCGGTTTCTGCAATGACCTCAAGTCTGGGATGAAGAGGGCTTGTGTTATCATGCATAAAAATGAATGAGTACAGGACACTTCATCATACATATCTACAACACTGGAGGGAAAAGAAAGCAGGGAGGTTGAGGAAACTGATGGGGTGTCCATCCTGAATACCACTGTTCACCATAGCATACCATAGCACTGAATCACACAGTCCAAAACAGGTCTCTAAGCGCATGGTTACCCACAGTATATCACTGAATCGCAAGTCTGTAAACAGTAAACTAAGGCTGAAGAGACATATATAAAGGAAATGAAATTATATGGCCTTGATAATTCATACAAACATTAAAATCCGTCAGTTTTACTGAAAGGACATCTTTAAGAAGAGGAAACTGAAGAAATAAAAAATCCGCTGACAAGTCTATTTAAAAAAAACGAGAGGAAAGGAACCATCAATTTGCTTTGTACAACATTCTTATGGGCTTTTCAAGTTGGAGATTAAAAAAGGCAATGGTTTGCATTAGCTCATGCAATTAAACATACAATCTTACGAGATACATCATGAACTTGTCAGCGGTGATTAATTACTCTTGGAATGAGGAATAGGAGCTTTGATTAGGATGTTGCATCCACAATTTTCCATTGGATATCTAAAAGTTTTCTGTTCTTTTTTTTTTTTAAACAGAATATTTTTCACTTTTAAATGTCTATGTGCAATTTTCTTTTTAAATCGATTTCAAGTTCCATCTACATAGTTTGTTTTACAGTACATATGCTAAAGCATATTCAGAAGCTGTAAAATTCTTTCCACAGCACAAAGAAAGAAAAACTGAACATTTACACAATCTATGTACGTATATATATACATGACTACACCCTAACCAACTGAAAAGCATCATTAGGTTCTCTTTTAAAATGGGTGTATGGTAACTATGTACAGAGGCAGGCACTATAGTTCTGTTTCTAGGTGTGTTTAGGCATATTTCAGTGATCTGTAGTTCCATTGTCTGTCTAGAAAGTGTTCTTTGTTAATATCATGCAGCAATACTTGTAACAGGAACTCATTCCAAAGGGGCTGACTAGCTATAAAGTTGTCCAGGAATTTATATCTGTGCTTCTTTTAGGTGATGAAATGAATGGTAATAAAAGCTACATCGCACAGAGAGAGAGAGGACATAAATGACAGGGATAAATCCAGATATTACACATGCTGCTGCAATAACTCCACTAGATGATTTAATCGTAGTTTATATGAAGTGAAACGTGAATGCATTAAAGCATAAACCTATTATCTATTATTTGCTCATTTATGAACGGAGTTATTTTAAAAATGTAAATCTAAAACTGTGAAGATGCAGACAAACATAAAATAAATGAATAATAAAGATTTTTGATTTTGCTGTTGGTGTGTAATCTGAACTTTAGCCACAACAGACATGTCTAAGAGCTAATATTACACAAATGTCTGATATATGCGAGATGGGACAGAGGGAAAAACATCCCCTTAAAAGCAAGAGTGAAGGATTACGAGTGTAAACTTGAAGCCAAATGAACGTGCACCCACAGTTTTCTTCAGTCAAGACCACGGCATGGCCCACACAGGTGAGGGAGAGGGATGTGACATAAGCGAGAAGACGGGGAAGCCACTCGAGTCACTCCTCTAATGGTCCTGTGAGGGTGTCGATGCAGGAGCTGTCGGTGTCTGAGGCCAATGTCTGCTCCGTTGACATGGACGAGATGTCATTAATAGAGGATGACTGGGAGGCAGTGGTGCTGCTGTTCACCGTACCGTCTACTACACAGAATGCAATGCATCAAAAATTAGGGCAACCAAAAGTAATGTGCTAACTTATGAGATAAACTTTTACTGAATGCAGTTAACCTATTTTATTGTTTTTGTGTTCCAAATGATTTCTAAAGAATATGAGTTTCTCTTAAAGGTGCATTCAGAAGTTCTTTAGCTAGCTTTAGTATTGATTTTCCTTGTGTATTTTAAGTCAGCATGATCATCTCTGAGTTTTATGCAAAATACTAGTGAGTTTGAGAGAGCGGTCCGACACCTGTTAACTCTTTCCCCACCAGCATTTTTTATTTTTTTTTAGTTGCCAGCCACCAGCAGCATTTTTCATCATTTTCACAAAAGTTTAATTGCCCCCAGAATATGCCAAAATAGAGTCTGCTTTAAAACTAAAACAAATGTTTCGTTTATTTTATCAACACTTTTATGTCAGGAAGTTTCATGAAAAAAAGCAACATTTTGCACTAAAAGCTGAGAAAATCGCGTTTTTGTAAAAGACTATGTCTGGAGCAGATTCAGTATAATGATCAAAACAAAGATGGAATAGATCGCTTCCATCAACGCATCCAAAGCTTGCATGGTTGTTCACCACTTCCTGGATCGACATTTCATTCAGTAACATTTTTACTGAGCAGTTATAAGTGCAGTTTTGATTTACATGCTGTTTAATGCTTGATGATCATGTTATTTTACATATGTATCTGCTTATATATGCAACTGCTTGTTACTGCTTCTTCGCCGTGTTTTGATCGAGGCGAAAGATGCGCAATAGCGCCTCCTACAGTACGCCAGTGAAAACACGAAAGCTGGAAAATTCTGTCAATGGCGGAGAAGCGTCTCATAATTGAAGAAAAATTTTGTCTATGGCAGCGAAAGAATTAAACACAAAAGCAGCAAATTGCGCATCAATTTTGCGCATATAAAATCGTGTCTCTGGACCGGAGCAGAGTGTGTGTGTGTGTGCAGAGGGTGGCTAGTGTGACAACGCAAAACCAGACTTCTTTTTTTCCTCAATGGAAAGCATATTTACACTGTTTGAATTGTTCCCTGTCCCCTATATAGTGTACTACATGCCATTCACTTTACAGAAAATACTAATTCTGTGGACAAGTGACCGATTTCAGCCGCGGCTTCAGCATCTATTTTATAGTGTAGGGGGTGGGCGCTTCGGATTCTAGAGAGCATTTGATTGGATAGAAAGTTTGATGAGAAGCTGAAGTACGATGTGACATCAAAAAAGTCATTGAGCCGTTTTGGCGGAAGTGACGAATTGCAAGCTTTGAATGCTTATATCTTCTAAATGCGAATTTTGTCACTGTTTTGGGGCACACTGCCTTATAGATAACCTTAAGACTAACATATTGATACTAACACCCAAAAAACTTTAATTTTGATTTCATGGGGACTTTTAAGTAAAGATCATGTTCCATGAAGATATTTTTTAAATTTCCTACTGTAAATATATCAAAACTTAATTTTTGATTAGTAATATGCATTGCTAAGAACTTAATTTGGACAAATTTAAAGGTGATTTTCTCAATATTTAGATTTTTTTTGCACCCTCAGATTCCAGATTTTCAAATAGTTGTATCTCGGCCAAATATTGTCCTATCATAACAAACCACACATCAATGGAAAGCTTATTTGTTCAGCATTCAGACTATGCATAAATCTCAATTTCGAAAAAATGACCCTTATGACTGGTTTTGTGGTTCAGGGTCACATTTGTACTTGACTCACCTAAACACTCCTCTTTCAGCACTCCATTCTTGTTCCTCTCCTCCCAGTCTATTACTTCTTTATAAATCAACTCTGTAGTGAGGGAAAAACCCAAAGAAATCATAAAGAGAATTTTGTGCCTTTTCATTGTTTTACAAATCACTAATAACTCATATTCATCACTTCAGCAGACATTAAAATTATGAACTTTCAGGGTCAAGGCTCAAAAGCGA